CAGGTACTGTAGAAACCTGTCATTGCACTTACGGCGCGTGCATGCATAAATGTATATATTTACATATCAGTAGACAAATCAGCTTAAACATATCAAAAGATGCTTTATGTCTCCAGATTTTGAATTGCTAGCTGAACTATTGATGAATTGCCATCTAGCTACCGTAGACAAACCTCACTGGTAACATTGGGGGAAATAGAATGTGTTTATGTTTGAGTTATAAACCAGCAAAAAAGACGATCCCTCAATTCACTTCAGACTCTTCTTCCGTTAAAAAAAAAAAAGAAAAAGAATATCAAACCATGGTTGTACAAGTTAATTAAAATGAAACTGTTCCTGTAGAAAATGTTCTGTGAATATTTTTAACCATGTCAGGTTTAGTAAAGTTTTAAAGTTTTTAAAAAAGATTAGATAATTATAATAGATTAATAATTCCGTTTGGCAAAGTGCTTGCCGAGATTATCTGTTTTATTGGTATCATTGATAAAGACCTGCTATTAGCTGCTGTGACCTAGAAATAAGGGGGGCATTTTTATTTCCACACCTTCTAGTTCTGCTCTAGTCAGAGGACACGGTGATATAACCACATGAATTGTGTCTGCACTAGGGTTCACAAATTACCACTGCAAACCAAGGGTCCAATTTTGCTGCTACAAACAGGCTTGGGCATCTCAAGTGACCTAAAAACTCTGGTTGTAGAGAGAGATGTCACAGGAAGATGTGTGGCATCAGAAGTACCAGGTGAACATATCTAGGAAATGTAGACAAAAACTAGGCCTGAATTAGAGGACTTTTTTTTAAATATTAAAAAAAAAAAAGAAAGAAAAAAACCCCAAACCATAAAAAATCCAAGTAATGTTTCTACGGTGAGTGGCCTGTATACATGTTGTATTGTGTTTCCCCAGGTTCTGGATAAAAATTTTCTTTGCAGGGAGTTAGCATAGACTTATTAGGCAGTTGAACGTCCTCGTTCTTTGTATCTGACTGCGTGCTCGTTGTTGCAGCAGTAGTTGAAATTGCACAGCTGCGAGGAGCCTATTTCTGGGGAAATATATTTAGAGAGAATTGTGTGCTGATGTTCACGGCTCCACTTGGAGTTTGCCCACAAGTGTACAAAACATTTTAAAGAGAAAGAGCTGTTCGTCTGTGAAAACCCAGTCCGTATAAAGCTGCCTCGCTGTATTTCTCTTACAGGGCTGGCTCAAAATGGGTCGAGCCACTGGAACCGAGTGGTCTCCATCCTCACATAGGCCCTTTGAGGAGATGGGTACTCTGCTTTTGAGGGGACAGGTTATGGTGTTGGCCCACTGCTGAGTTGCTCTGAAGAGTTTCAAGGGCTTGGCAATAAGCAGGGAACACTCCTTTTCTGTGTGCTTGCCACCAAAATGATGCCATGGAAATGCTGTAGCTTGAGACTACTTCAGACACTTGAGTGTGTTCAGCAGTTATTTGTATGTGCTGCGTTATCAAAGAAGATGTTAGAAAAATATTAAAGCGGTAAATAATGCTTTAAATATTATTTGTCTGAACTTTGATAAATGTTTTCCATATAAATGCCACAACTCCAATTCGTCTGCTAAAAGTCTAAACATCTCTTTGGATAAAATTATGACAAATATGATTTATACCAGGTTCCATTTGGGGTTATTAGGATGTTTGTGCATAGTAGGGTTTTTATCAGTGACTAACTGGGATGTAAGCAACCTTAGAAAGTGTCCTCGTAGGTCTGTGTGTGTGTATATGATAGCACATTCCTACCATGTCTTGTGCTGTCCATCATGAAGTGTATTCATTGTTCAGCTTATGCTACAGAATTGTACTAATTGTGCACAGGTAAAGGCTTGATGTTGGATTTAGATAATAGCAGAATATCCTACGAGAATACTTATGTGCACAGTATTGCAGGTAAGCTTGCAGGTTACAGCATTTTATGAAGGGCATAGCATGAGAAAGGCCCTGTTGAGTTAGGACTACGGTCTGGTGGTGGCTAATTGTCAGTGCCTGGGAGATTAACAGCAGAGGAGTCCTGTAGGCTGAAGATTGTTCCTATACGCTCCCAACCATGAGTGATTTGCAGCCCAGGGAGTTCCAGCAACCGAGGTGCTACCAGCTGAATAGTTCTTGACGGATTTTTCTCATTTAAGCTTCTGTTAGTTGCTCTTTCTACCATTATAAACCACCAGCATCTCCATCATCTGGTGCAAAATTCACAGCTTAACTGTGCTCGGTGTGAAGAACCTCCTTGTTTTTGCAGTGTCGCCGATTTGCTTCATTTGATGCCCCTAGTTGTAGTACAAGATGGTGAAGAGGTTTTTTCCTTACTTGCTTTCTTCATGCTGTTTGTAAATGTAGACTTCCGTCATACACTTAGTCAGTCATCTCTTTCTGGACCACTGAGTCTTTGCCTGTTTCATTATTCTTCGTTTCAAAGCTCTTTTATACCTTCTGTAATTCTTATCCCTCTTGTCAGTGCCTTCCCTAAGCACTCTGGGTGCGTTTGTGTGCCCACTATCTCTGTTCCTTAGAGCAGAGATTGTGTAATTGTCAAATTCAATGTTCTGAAATTACCTGGATCTCCCTTGAAACCCTCTAAAAAACCCATTCTATTTGCTGCCTTCTGTTCCCCTGCTGCTGACAGAGGTTTGCTCAAGAGACTGCCCATCACAGCAGAGCTATTTCATCTTAAGAGCCTCCGAATGAATATTGCTGGAGCCCGATGATTGTCCTTCTTCATTACAAGATGAATACTGTATTTGCAAGTGTATGAACACTCAAGTATTTGTTCCATAACCATGTCTACTGATGCTGCTGCTTGACCTGGTTCCTCCAGTGTCCCTTGTCAAGAGAGGGTCCAGCATGGAAATTGTTCTAAGACCTTCCATAGGGGACACAGCAGAGAAGCAGAGTTCCATTTGTGCCCCTGTGGCTTTATCTCCTGATGGATGCTCTTGGGTTGTGATCTCCTGTAGCCCCCAGCCTCCCTCACAGACTTCTTGGGATGTTTGGAAAAGGATTTCTTAATCCCTTTAGTGGGGAGGTGGGTGGAGGTGGAAGATGTTTGGTGGGGGTGGATTGACATTGACAGCCGTGGGAGACTTCTAATTCTGTTAGCTTTTCGCAGTTTTATGTATTGCCTTGTTTACTCTAAAAATCATTTTTATTGGAAAACTATCTTTCCTCTTACCCTCTTCCCTGATTGCCAAACCACACCATATTTTCCCTGTAGTTATTTCAGTAGGACAAGATCCCTTTGCTGTCACCTGTGTTATATTCTGTGTTCTATTCTATTGCTGTGAGATTTTTCTCCAGCTCAGCAGCAGGAAGGCTGTTAGCTCTGATGCAGGACGGCATTACCACGTCCCCGAAGGTACTGGCGGTGAACCTGTGCGTCAGCATTTCTTGGGCTCTGCCACCCCGGCCTCAGCAGATGGCATTTTGTGCCAGACACTGGTGCTCCGTATGCCTGTAGGACAGGTAGCAGTGGGTGTACATACAAGCACACAGAACAGTGTCACATCTGCTTTGTTATCATCCAACTGGAGAGGGTAACCAGAGTGGATGCACCTGACAGCCCCGTACTTCCCCAGGGCCCCTTGCAGACTGCCCCGTGAGAGATTATCTTTCTTTAGAATCATCTTTCTCACAACTTCGCACCTGCAAAAGACATTAAATGATCAGCAGGCACTTAAATATTCATCCTCATTTTGTCCATGCCTTTTATTAAAGTTCATATAATCCAAAGAGGCTTTTAAATGGTCTGTGGCTTAATTTATTCATTAAGGAATTCAAGCAATAAACAGTCTGTGTTTTTGCCTGGTGCTGATGCTTTTTCTTTTTTCTGTTGCAACTTGCAGGGATGTCTGTCTCTTTGCTTTAAATACCAAAACTCTGTGTGCTCCTTGCTGCAGCTCTTGTACCTTGGCTGCCTGCTCACTGACTTGTCAAATCACTAATGAACCTGCGCTTCTCCCTCTTAGGGCCACATTCTGCCCTCAGCTGAACTTGTTCAGGCTGAGTTGCTTCAGAGGTATTTCACAAGGGTAATTTTTGCCCAGGTTGCTTACAGAAGTCTCGCAATATTACACCTGGCTCTGTTAATTTTATGTAAATTAAGCGTAACTTCCAGCAGCACTCCTTTCAGCCAGTTTATACAAATCCTCTATCGGTCAACTCGATGTGCTTCTCATCTCCACAAACGCCTGCAAAATGGCTCTTCTGCTACCTGTGTAGGGAATAACAGCCACTTCAGTGGCTCGGATTGGCAGTGTGGCATGATGAGGTCGATGGTAAGTAAGGCTGGAAACTATTTTAAGTGACAGAATAGAAATGTTTCCAAGTTGGTTCCTTACCAAGCAGCCCAAATGCTGATGTTGGATGGCAATGTCAGGGCGCTGGTACTGATACATTAAAGAGGTCTCTAACAGGGTTTGGAAGACCTTTTGGGTAGGTTTCCCCAGATGAGGATCCCAGCCTCTTTAGGCATCTTCAGAAATCTCTTGGGGGTTTTTATTCATTTTGGGCCTCTTGGACTTGATAAATGGGGGGGAAATATCTCCGTATAAGAAAGAAAATATGTATTCTAAAAGTAAATTACGGATAGAGGTTCTGGCTTTACTTTCTGCTTTCTTAAGAGGCAGTAAGTACTCTGTCACTGGAACGCTTTCTGCATAAATCACCGCATGCTTTATGTGTCTTAAATTTGAATGGAGAACTAACAGTTTAATATTCTCTGATGGTATATGTGTGGTTGTGGGAAAACACTATGTAGGAAGCTAGAAACGTGCAACAAGTGCCTCAGTCTATTAGAGCGTTGAGTGGATCAGGTGTGGCACTGGGGAGGGTGCCTCATCACCCCACGCACGTGGGATGACAGGGGAGTGGCTTGCAAATACTTGGAATAAAGGCTTTGGCAGTCCAGGGGAGGAATATGGAAAGAAACACGCTAGGGAAGAGTTCAGCTGAACTCAGCTTTTCTGTTGGTAAAATCGAGTACAAATGGGGGCAAGAAGCGTGGATGCCAGTAGGCAAATGGACTGATGGTGTTTTTAACACCTGGTTGGGAAAGTCAGCTGTTTGATGGTCATAGCAAGCTTAAAAATTAATGCTTTACAGCATCTCGCTGGAGGTTTTATAGAGCAGGTCACAAACTGAGAAATTGCAATACTGATGACTGCAACAAAAAAGAAGATACTACCATCTAAATCCTCCTTCTTTCACCACCAGAGAATCATATTTTAGAAGATGTAAACAAATGTGTCATTGCTCTCCAAGAAAAAGATGTTGATGGTTTAGACCGCACAGCTGGTGCCATTCGAGGACGTGCTGCTAGAGTCATTCATGTTGTCACTTCTGAAATGGATAACTACGAACCTGGAGTCTACACTGAGAAGGTTTTGGAAGCAACTAAGTTACTGTCCAACACAGGTAAGAGTTGGTTACTCCCAAGATCCCTGAATTCATGTTGCTTTACAAGTGCACGGGCAACCGGATACGAACGTACCTGTGAAATCTATTAAAGACTCCTTTTACATACTATAATGAAAATTAGTGGGAGTTATTTGCAGAGCTGTTGCAAAATGAGAAATATAATTTTGCTGTGTTGACTGGCTTAAAGCTCAGCAGTGCGCAAGGTCTCCCTGAACGCGCTTGCTGTCGCTGGCTGAGCTGTAGAAAGCTCAGCACACCGGGGAGCGAGTCCCAAACAGTGAGTCAGGGCTTCAAAGGTTCGCTGATCGTTTTGCAGTATTGTACCAGGCTCTGTCATTGTTCAGCATCCAGAAAGATTTGTGCCTGTTGGCCCAGTAGAATAAATTTTGGGTAATAATTTAGGCTATATCTTTGCAAGCGTTGACGAAACATTGCAGGTTGTAGTCACCCACCCCTAAACGATAAATTAGGGTGTTTCCTGTGAACTAGCTGGCAACATCCATCTAGGGTAAGGAATGACTATGCTTGCTTCAATGCGTGCTGTGCCAACTATTAGTTGTTTGGTTTCCTTTAATTACAACTTTGATGAAGAATCAAGGGTGACATTGAAGAAACAAACAGACTGTAAATGGTTCTGTGATGTTCTTCCTGGGCTGCAGTGAGTCACTCGAGTACAGCAGTGCAACCTGCCCTCTTCAGTGCCTTGTTAAACTTGAGCTTTGTCACGGTAATACTAGGTTTTTTCCACAAAAATTATGTACATCTACAGGGAATATTAAACACAATGGTTAATATTTTATTCCATAGATTCTAACTGCTTCCCCAGGTGTTTTCCCCTTGTCCAGTAGAAGGATGCGATAAACTTTTCACTGTCTAAGGGGAAAAAAACAAGTAGCAGTAGAGGGACTAGAAATTGAAGTGAAGGTAAGACTTGAGCTACAGTGTTGGCGTCCGTCTATAACAAATGTTTTGAATTTAAATGGAACCACTGTGGAGCTTCCAGTGATGGTTAACTACGAGGCACACACAGAAAATGGCACTGGGATGGGGACTGACTGTTATTTTGTCTTCTTAATTCAGTTATGCCGCGGTTTACTGAGCAAGTAGAAGCTGCTGTGGAAGCACTGAGCTCAGACCCTGCTCAGCCAATGGATGAGAATGAATTTATCGATGCTTCGCGACTGGTGTACGACGGAATACGAGATATCAGGAAAGCCGTACTGATGATCCGGGTGAGCATAACTTGCTTAAACAGCTTTCTGTTTTTCCGCTCGCTTTCCCCCACCTCTATTGAACGGACATGCATCAGTTTTACTGAGAGCAGACAGCGGAAGGTTTTTGTTTAGCTCATATTAACATTCAGAATCTCAATCACTCTGTGGAGTACTTCAGAAGTATGTTTTGATTCAAATTCATTAGACAGATCTGAGCATCAATGATAGCCATAGTTGTGATGCTAAATACCCTTCACGCATCTTTTGTAATATCATGTTAATGCCTTGCTTGTTAATGTGCTAAAATCAGTGACCTTTGATTTAACAACAGCGAGCGCATTCTTAACTGTAGATGCTTTTTGATGGTTTGAGAGCCTAGAAATAAAACCTGATGGCTCTTCATTAAGTCATTTTTGAGAATTAATGCTAGTTAGTGAAAAACAGGTTCAAATGAGTTCAGTCTGTAGTTCCTAGAGCATGTAATTCGTTAATTGGCTAACCTCGGTAAACAGGGACCAGTTCACAGAGGCTTTGTCTCTTCTGTGCTTGCGTGATGGTAGGAGGCGTGTGGGGAAGGCGCAGAAGGGCTCCTGCGGTTGATTGAAGGGATGCAGGAAAGAAAGTTCTGATTGAGGCTGACCTATGGGCGTATTTCTTGAATCTTAGTGTGGTAAAAATGGGCAGGAGCCAGACACAGCAAAAACAAATGTAGGGGGTTTATTCCTTTTTTTCTTTTTTCCTTGTACCCCTCTGACTCAAACATAAACGCCTTGCGGAGAAACTGCCTTCATCTAGCAGAATGGTAACCACGGCAGATGCGTTTTGGTGATAAGTAAATGGAGGCCATACAGCCCCAGAATATATGTGATGATAGTAACCATTGCAATAGTATCTTCCATGTTTGCTGCTTAAAGCAAAGAATCAGATGGAAAAATCAGAAGAAAAGCTGACAACCACGTATGAGCTCTCCATATAATTTTTTTTCACACTTAAGCTCGGGATTTATGGACAGCCAATGTAGGATGAAGATATCGGTGCTTTCCTGCTATGCAGACAAACTAATTTCATTCACCCCCTGCTAAACCCTTGTTATTCAGGACATGAAAGCACGACTGCCAATTCCATGTCATCGGTAATTAGCCGAGCTGGCCATGCCAGGAATCCTGACATTTCCCCTTGTGCTGCCTCTCTGATGTCGGGGTGCCACGGCTTTATTGCAGCTGCCAGTAGCTAACGGCAGCTCACTGGTGGCGCATCAGTGACCTATAAAAAAGTTAAAATGTTAGTATTTGTTGTCCAAAGTGCTGTAAGGTCTAGGCTGTATTTAAGATAGAGAGTCGTCCAAATGGAGATGCCAGGCCACCACTTCTGCAGGGCATTGTCTCAAACTGGACCCCAGGAGTAACCACGCTCGCAGGGGGATGCTGCTAAGCTCGGCTTGGGCAAACAAGCCTCTTCGCTTGAGACTTTGTCCGGTGGCACTTGTCCTTCACAGGAACCAGAAGGAAAAGTCACTCAAACACCTAATGTTTGTGTTTATGCAGTGTATTTACAAAACTAAAATCTCACTGTATCTGTAGGTTACTGAAGTAAAGCTCTTTCCTCCCTGATCCCCAGGCAATCTCTCATCTTCCCCAGAGGAGTTTTTGCTCTCGATGACAGGTTGAAAGGCAGAATTACGCTTTGTATACCCCAGGTTGTTTGGGCTTTGGAATGGATGGGAAGAGAAGGAGGCTTGAGAATCATAAACTGTTTCTAAAGATGCAGCAGAACGGTTTTCTTTAATTTAAAAAAAAACTTAAGTATCAATATGCTGAGCTATTAATTAGTATATGTCCTTATGCCAATTTTGTGAATATACTCTGTTCTTCAAGGCATGGAGAGGAGATGGTGGCGGAAATACCCTAGGTCTTGATTGTCAGCATGCTCACCTTTGCTTTTTGGCAACTGTTTTGCGTATCCATCTTTATTTTAACTGTATCACAATATGTCTGTATTGGAAAACAAGTTTGTAAAATTCAAATCATAGGAAAGGAATATGAAGAACGGGGACTTTATTTGCATCTTATCTGTTAATCACAATTTATTGCATTTATCAGTGAAGTTCTTTGTTGATCCATCTCTACAAAATAGTCATGAAGTGCCACTCTAGGCAAAGACACAGTATTTTGACAAACATGCTGTTTAAACTTGATAAGCTTTATAAAAAGTTTGCCAGCTATAGACTGGCAGTAGCAAAAATAAATCCTAGGCAAGCAGGAACTAGGTCAGATGTGTTTAGCCTACAGCATAAAAGCTGGCCCTTTACTAGCTAAAATTTTTCAGCTTTTCCTGGGGGATAAGAATAAATTTTGATGTATTTTATCTGTTGTTAATTTAGTCGATGCTTTGATTCATAATTGTGCTAAAGACGACGTCTGTGGTTTTGAACCAGGCCTTAAAGCTGTGTGTAATTTTAGCTGCAGAATCTCAAGTGAAGCTTTTACATTTACCCAAGTTGCAAAAATCCTGTTCGTTTTGCAAAAACTTTTTTTCTGTGTTTCAAATCCTGAGTGCATTAGCGTCCTGACAAATCTCAGATGTTTAGTTACTGGTATGTAATTTTGGGGATCCCTATGGTGTTTAACATGAGCAGTCAAGCTTACACAATCACATGTGTTCACAGGCTGGATACAGCCCTTATATTTACCTTTTTCTTGAAAACATGGAATAACCTTTACTGTCACTTACTTCCATTCTCTCTGCTTGGAAAACAAGATTCTTGTTGATTTTTAGAGCCATAAAATCTGTTGTTTGACTCTGACTGCCATACTCTGCCCTCAGACTCCCGAAGAGTTGGATGATTCTGACTTTGAGACCGAGGATTTTGACGTCCGAAGCAGAACAAGTATTCAGACCGAAGATGATCAGCTCATTGCTGGACAAAGTGCGAGGGTAAGGAAGAAATCTGAGCATTATGAAAGTGTGGCCTGCCTTCAGGAAACAGTTCAAATTGCTTTGAAAATCCAGGTTGAATTTTTTGGGGGTGGTGGTGAAAATGTTGGATCAGAAAATTGGCATTCTTTTGTTTCCAGTTTCCTTCTGAAAAGGAGGTTAAGTGAAATGCAGGATGTGTTGGTCTGATGGATGTCAGAAACGTCTGTGTTTTATTTTGGATGAGCTGAAAGGTCAAAATCCTTTTAATACTGATGAACTACTTTATACTTTGACATCGCAGACATTAGAGGCACTGCCATTTAGTTAGGTGAGCTCCTGGCAGATGATACGGGGCAAAGCATTGTACTGTTATTTTCAACAGACAAATGCTAAATTTGTGGGCAAGAAACAGATAACTCTGCAATTCAGGCATTCTTCACAAAACGTCTTCTCACGCATATGTTGGTGTGTGTTTAGCCACTGAGTGTTTAATCAAGGCAGTGTTGGAAGAGCTCAAAAATGAATCATTTAAACTAATTGCCTTTCCTATGACTGTTAAAAATGAAAGCACTGATAGGCAATATGTAATCATTAATAGGTGAAATCTTAAAATCAGTACATTGAAGGAAAACCAGGCCTTACCTATTGTTTTTTATTTGACATGTCCCCTTCTGGATCGATAACCATTTACACTCTTGGGAAAGTGCCAGGAAAGATTTTTTTTTTTTTTGTGAAGCCCTTCTAGCCTGAAAGCAGGCAAGAAGTAGCTAGGCCTTATTTATCAAACTTCTGCCATGTTGGCTTTGAAAATATACTAACTGAGAGTATTTTTTATGCTCTCCTTCCTTGTACAGGCATGCTCTATTCCTGTATCCCTCTCCCCCCTTTTATTTAAATGCAGACATTTCTAATTTACCTTTTAGCACGGCTGCTGCCAGAGGCTTTTTTTTTTGTGCTGAAGACTCTTTTTCACCTGCTCCTGGAGGCGTGAATGCTGCTAGTATTTATGAAGGCAAGGGTATCAAGTCTCATACAGGCTGTAAACCCAGTCTAATAGATTTTATTCAGGAGTAAGCACATTCTCTTTATTTTCACTTACTCTTTCCTCACTATGCATGTTTCAAAATAGTACATCTAGCTCTTTGCAGGAAAGAGACTTGTAATATTTCTTCTCTGCATTGCAACACTGAAAGATATCCAAGTGGAACTTCCTTTTAAAACTCTTAAATTTTGTAGAAAAGGCAAGTCCCTCCTCTTCATGCAATTTTTCTTTGATGGATGGTAATATCTGGCGCACTTGTTCAGTGCCTAACAAATTTATCATGCAAATGCCTGTATTTCAGATGTCAGCTTGTCTTTCTGGGCACTCTTTCTTAAGAAAGACCGTAAACTTTGGTTCAAAATGGAAGGAAATGGTTCTGCAAAGCCTCTAGGTAGAGCATTGCTATTAAAATTTTATCCCCCATCTACATGACTTAAATTGGTTATTAGTGAAATGTTCCAAAAAGCCTTCTACAAGCAGCGGCAAAAGGCAATGTGAGAAAACTCTCTCTTTCAGGCTATCATGGCTCAGCTCCCTCAAGAGCAAAAAGCTAAGATTGCTGAGCAAGTCGCAAGCTTCCAGGAAGAAAAGAGTAAATTGGATGCTGAAGTATCAAAATGGGATGACAGCGGTAATGATATAATTGTTCTGGCAAAACAAATGTGTATGATTATGATGGAAATGACAGACTTCACCAGGTGAGTCTTTTTAATTTGTGCACACAACACCTTCTCTCAGAACTGGCTGGGATGCTGATCTTTCAATGAAATATTTTCCAAGTACTCATAAGAGTCTTACTTCTTATAATTTCCTTTAAATGTTACCCTATTAAAGCTTGTGTATTAGCTCAGGAGATACATTACTATGCAGTGACTGGGTGGTAATAACTGTTCAAATTGATCTATAGATACACAGCAGTTATTGCCTGTCTTTCTTTCTTTCTTAAGGGTGAATTTTGTCCCGAGGAATGAATATATATATACACATATATATATATATATTTGCTCACTTTCTTACAACATTAAATTGTATGGGCTTCTTGATATTGCTATACTGCAGAAATAGTTCCTAGTGCAGTTATTTGCAAAAGAAAGAGAGGGGGTTTGATGCCTTTTGAAATTAATTTACCAGATTTTATACAATGCTGTTTTTTAAACTTCATGTTGCATTCCATGAAAATTGCAAATCTGTCTTCTAAAATGTTATCTCTTATCATCATTAGATTGCTTAAAAGAGTGAAATTTAAGATGTTTTTATTCCTAGATTTAATCTAAATATGGGGAGGGGCTGGAAAGAGGAAACTGTCTTGAAAATGAAGGTGCTGTAATGATTACGCCTGCCTATTTCTGTGCAACCTTATTCATGCAGTTTGGGTGAGGAATCAGCTCCAGTACTATATGGAACGGGATGAGTAAAGCAATATACAGTTCACTCTTCCAGTTTTCTGGTGCTAGAAGGTAGACTCTGTTTTGTTTTACAGAGGTAAAGGTCCACTGAAAAATACGTCAGATGTGATTAGTGCAGCCAAGAAGATTGCCGAGGCTGGGTCAAGGATGGACAAGCTGGGACGGACTATTGCTGACCATGTAAGTCACAATTCATTTTCATAAGCCTCCAGCGCCAATGAGCAATAGGAGATCTTTTAGTACTGCAGACATGATGAACAGAAGAAAGTGTGTCTAGTTTTGAGGTTTTGGGGGTTTTTAACAGAATTTCCAGATTTGCTGCTGGAAAATTCTAGCCTTTCCTTTCTAGCTGCTCTTCTGCCACCCTAAGCAGTGTAAGCAGCTAAATACGTCCAGCAGTAATGCCAGCAGCTCCTTGGCTTAAATCGAGCACCTACCATTTTAAGGTAGCAACATGCCAACACTGCTTCGTGTCGCATAGTATCTAGGCCAGTTTCTCTAACTGAACAGGACTGAAACTGAATTCGTGCTCCGAATATGCCCAATACTTTCCAAAGCAATGACGAGACTGCGTAGGCAACGCCATCATTATTGTACGTGGCCTGTTGCGCAACCTTTAGTATTTAATTTTTGAGGCAGCTTTTTAATACTAACAATTTTCAAATGCCCCGTAGACTGAGATTGTCAAAACTCTAGGTTTTTTTTTTTTCATTGTCTAGTCAGAGTTGATGTAGACTTTGAGCAAGGCACGTACTGACCTGGGCATTTTCTACGCTGTCCCGGGCTGGGGTGCATGTTGTTGTGCTCTATGTACAAAGGTATTTGAAAGGAATTCTATAGGATTGAACAAGTATGGGCCAGCTCAGGGTTTTATGCACTGCATCTGCCTGTCCTGAGCCACTTCAGAAACTGGGTTGGGCCAAGCAAAAGCACCTTTGGTCTTGGTCCACACCCAAATTGCAGAGAAACATCAGCATTAGTAATAATATTCTGCCTTCAAGAGAGGCCCTGAAATGCAGGTAGGTTAAGTCTGAGATCACGGACTAAACTTTATTCTGTACAACTGTTGCTTGCTTTTCAGTCCTTCTCTGAATGTGAATTCATAATGCGAGGTTTCAAATAAAACCGTGTCACTTTGGAAGTAAATCTTTGTAATGCAGATCTCTCTTTAAATGTTGCATCCAGAGGATGTTGTCTTCACCCTAATTTATTAATGATGCAGTGAGAAATGTTTGATGGGGAGATAAAGTTGAAAAGTGCTTTTTTAAATGGGTCTCCTTGCTATGGCATTTTGACAGCCGTATTTCTGGAAGAATCAGGTGCGCTGCTGCTGTAGGTAAATGAAGCAAGGAGCAGTTTATGTTATAGATCTCGGGGGATCTTGGGCTGAAGGTTTACAATGCTTTTTTAAATTCACATGTTTTATGCAAACTTGGTATACGGTTTTCTGCACCAAGCCATTTCAAAATATAGAAGAAAACTAAATGGCTTCTTTTAGTAGAAGTAAGGTCCTTAAAAATGTAAAAGATTAATCACATGTTTGAAGATAAATACAGGCAGGACTGTAATGTTAGTCATTTTGACAAGAATATAGCTTTTTTCCCCGACACCGTACTCTACTAATACTTTCAGCTTGCATATTTCATTAGGTATGCTTACATACTCTTCAGAAACTTGTTAATGTAGATCCGTCTGGCAGTTACAGAGGACGTACAACGCAACCATTTCAGCAGAGCACTAATGCCTTCCTATGCCTAATATGGGCTTTTAACAAATGGATGGGTTTTTATGTCCTGCTCGCCATGTGACACCGGGTGAATCATGACCCCTCGTGTTAGTGTGTCAGGAACTCCTAACTCCTGCCGTCAGGCAGTTTTACAGCACATTTCCTTTGAAACCATAAAAGCTATTATCCAAGGTATTTCACGTCTCTTGAAAAGTGTCTAGCCATCATCTGGCAGATTTTCCCAAAGGTGTTCCATCTTTCACTCAAAGCAGCAGTCTGCTTGTTTTGAATGGGGGAATATGAAGAAGTTACGAGTACAACACAGATGAAAATGATTTGCAGCAAGACAATGATTCTCCGTATTATTTTTTTTTCCCCAATGTTGAAATACTTACAAAGCAAAAGAAAAATTCTGTTGCTTTTTCTCTTTGATAGTCGTGGGAGGTTGCATCAGTATCTGATCATTAAATTGAAAGGAGCTGGAGGGAAGCGTAGGGATAGCCCTGCTTCCCAGTAAAACGCTCCAGCAGGCTCTTGCTGTCGAGACTGGTCCGTGCGCTGCAGAGGCTGCTCCGGGGATGTGCTCTGGGGATGGGCTGGTGCGGGGATGTGCTCCGGGCACGGGCTGGTGTGGGGATGTGCTCTGGGGACGGGCTGGTGTGGGGATGTGCTCTGGGGATGGGCTGGTGCGGGGATGTGCTCTGGGGATGGGCTGGTGCGGGGATGTGCTCTGGGGACGGGCTGGTGCAGGGATGTGCTCTGGGCACGGGCTGGTGCGGGGATGTGCTCTGGGCACGGGCTGGTGCGGGGATGTGCTCCGGGCACGGGCTGGTGCGGGGATGTGCTCTGGGGATGTGCTCTGGGGATGGGTTGGTGCAGAGATGTGCTCCGGGCACGGGCTGGTGCGGGGATGTGCTGCGGGGATGTGCTCCAGGGATGTGCTCCGGGCAGAGGCTGCCGGCTGTCCGGGGTGGCAGCTGCTGGCACGCATTGCCACGTGCCTGTCCTGCCGTGGGAACTGCTTCCCCTACATGCCCTTCAGCTTCTCGAACTAAACACTGCTGAGCCCAGCTGTTACACAGGGCTGGCGGGGGAATTTTATTCTGAATTATGGCTACCCTAAACGGGAGATACAGTGGGAGGAAGAAAAGTCTGTGCGGTTGCTTGCTTACACCTACCAGACACGTGGGCATGGGGGTTGTGTGCTTGTCTTAATCAGCACACGCACTGCAGGAGAGCTCTTCTGTCTTTCCCTGACCCTTTTCTTTGCAAAAAGGGAGAAAAAGGTGATTCTGCTCCTTCACAGGCTCGGCTGGGGTGGTAAGAAGCGAATGTGCGTGCATGTTTGCTCAGTCCAGGATGGATCCTGGATTTGACTTGGAGCAGCCAGCTTGGCTTTTGCCAACAACTACCATTGAGTCTGTGGCAGCATCGTGTTTTGGGGAGTTGGGGGTGTCCCCCAGCACACATTTGTTTCTGTCTACAATGCAGCTATCTGCTGTGACAGTGTTGTGGGAATCCTCCCCAGCTAGCTCTGCAGACGGGGTTTTTTGTGTCTATGGCTGTTGTAGATTAATACAATAATGTAATCTTTCTTAATCACTGTTGAAATTGTTGCCTTTTGGGTTTTTTGGTTTTTATCTGAGTGTTCCTGCGTAGGAAAGGACAGGGCTTATACAGGCATCCGCAGTGCCTTTTGTCGATGTTCTCTTTTATCTTGTGTTACATCTCTATTCAAACATCATCTGTCTTTGAGCCGAATTCTCTATTCCACTCATAGAAACAGCACACACGGTATAGGATGTGGTTTTCCAACTCAGGTCATAGTGATATATACAACCGAATAATATTTCCTATTCCACTGCTTCCCCACTAATATTTTGCTGCCTCCTTCAGCCATTGGTAAACATGCGGCAGCCTCTTTCCTTGAGAGTGTCTTTTCTTAAATGGTTTCCATAAACTCACATCCCATAAAGTACCTTGAATTGTTTAGCGGTCCTTCTGACGTGCGCTATTGTGCATTTGTCAACATTCAATTCAATCTGCCGCCGTGCTGCTCGTTCACTTTGTTAGATGAGCTGTTTGGGAGATGGAGAGCATTTTCCAAAATGGTAATTTCAGCTTTTCATTAGCTCTTTGGCCGACGCTATTTGTGGACTTTCTCTAAAACATCTTGTACTGCTGACTAATATTGATTAGCTTAAAAAATTAACCTGCAAGCTTTGCTGCTTTGTTATTCACGGCTTTCACTTCACTGATGGAAGCAACGTGCCTACGTAAGAGTTGCAGCTACTTTGGGTGTTTTCATGAGCTTTCCTTGGGAACAAGAAGGTGATTTCTGTTAGTTTATGGACACGCAGGGTCAGATGCCCGCAAACCCATCCAGATCTCCGTAGCCTGTGTTACATAGCTTGACCTCCTTGTCCCAGCTTGCCAAAAATCCTGTCGTAGTGCATCGTGTGTATGTATGTGTGCTGCCTTAGGTCACAGCTCTGCCCTGCCGTGCGGGGGTATCTCTATGTACAGTACAGTGGTTTTCTCTCTGCTGTGCTGAAAACCCATATTGGCTTAAAACCCCCACTTGTTCTGGCCCTGGAAAAAACCAAATCTATTTATTAGCTATGCTCACCTTCCTTTCCAAATGAAATGGCTGCTGTGGCAGATCAGTTATCGGTGTGGGAAGGAAATGTTCCCTGTGATTGTGACCCCCTGCTTGTGCGACACGACGGTCTGTTCTGGTGCAGGCTCCTTTTGTGCCTTTTATACACAGGGAACCTTTGGTTCCTGCTTCCATCTTGTACAGCTAGAACTGTAGCTAAGGAGAGAAGGTCTGCAGTGAGAATTAGGGCTCAGACCCTACCACTGACACCCCACAGGGGACTCTTACCTTGCTCTGAAAGGAGAGGGGAGGCTGTGTGGCCATAAGCAATAAACCTGAGCTTCAGTGAAGCTTAGAGTAGTAAATTGGTGCTAGATGTAAGGTTATTCTCCCAAGCATACTGCGTCTGTTATGAATCTTCATTTGGCAGTCCGTTGTACAGGACCGGGGTAGTAGATGAGCTGGGATTTTGCTGTGAACAGGGGAGTGTGGAGGAGAGCTCTCGCAGACCGTGCAGCGCTCTCAATCTCAGCAGGGTCTGGTCGGTGGGAAGAGCAAGCAGGTGCTGGGCGAAGAGAAGCGAATGCTGCTTAGAGCAGGACTCTTCTCTCCTTGTCCCGTCTAATCACTGGTAAATCACTGCGGCCACTGGTGGTTTCTGTGGAGTTTTTGGTGCTTGTCTGGAGGCAAGGCTTCCCTGGGACAAGCGGCTGGTCGGGCAGGCTGCACAGCCTGGAGGGGGGAAGCAGAAGGTGGGTGGTGTGCCCTGCTTGCCATCGAGTCCAGCTAAGCTGTGGGGCCAGGGAAGAGCATTTGGATTTTGTACATGAGTGCGTGTGTGTATGGGGTGCCAGAAAGCCTGCATTTAGTGATCGGGGACTGCGTACCAAGACCCTGGATGCTGGAGATTTAAGGAGTTTCTGGATGGGGTGCAGCTGTCTAGGAATGATGGAGATCATGGCAGGGCCTGCCTTCGGTCTGCCAGTACACGACCTGTCGGACCGTGATACCCTCAGCATCCCTATTGCAATAGCTTCTGCCATCGTGAATGTATCCAGACTGATTTAAAACCTGTTGTCTCAGGTGCTGCTGGCAGCACAGCCGGTGACGTCCGGAGGCCAGAGCTGGCCAACAGCCCACGTATTTACCCAGTCGTGAGGTGTTTGGTGCCCCACGCCGGGGTGCAGGCAGCCCGGGGTGCCCCGCTAGCGCTGCAGGCACAGAGCAGGAGCGTGGCACGCACGCCCTCGGGCTTGTTCAGCAGCAGCGTGAGAGGCTGGTGGGCAGAGGGTCTGTGGAGCTCAGTGCGTGCCAGCTGCTTTGTTCACTGGTCTTCACGCAGCCAGAGCGTGCCAGTAGATCTGAGATGGCCCGTTATTCTTTGGAGAAGCGACGCTGGCCACCATGCTCGCTGCCGTTTTTAAAGCTACCGCAGGACTGGCATGGGTAGTAAAAGGCTTCCCGGAGCCTTTTTGTCTTATACTTACGGATCCCGTTTTGGACTGTGGCCGCCCCTCAGCAGGGCTCCTCTTGTTTTGAAATCCAGCGTGAGACTGGCTCATTAATCGTCTCACCGCTCGGCTCTGCAAAGCGAGGGACGGCCCTTCGTTTCTGTCCGAGAAAACAGCTTTCTGAACTGCACTGCAGTCTCCGGTACCTACGTAGTCTTTCAATTGCAAAGCTGAAAAAGTTACTTTTATCTTACGGATGAATGCTTCAGCAAGCACTTTAAAAATTTTATTTCGTGCCTGGTGAGGAATCTAGTTTCCACACTGCTAAGAAATGGGAGCAGAAGTCAGGAGAATATCTACTTTGCTGGATATGATTGAGTAACCGTCAGGTTCATCATTTCCTAGCTTAAAATACTTAAGATTGGAAATTGAGGCTGGATTTGGTAACATCTGCTAGTTGCAACTTGAGATCTTGGATGTCAAATTACTGCTGCTGTGTCCTGTGCAGTGTGCAGGGAAGGACCTGTTACAGCTAACAAACCTGTTAGGTAGCTCTGGGTTTTTTAGATGTATTTAGTGATGCCCGTGTATTGCTCAGTTGTCTTTGGAACACCAAAGCTCAGCAGAAAGTGGAATAATCTCAGGAGCACATCTGCTATTTCAGAGCGGGGTTGTCTGGTTCCTCCCCAAATTATTTCTGTTCCAGTTTTTGTGATTGCAAAGTAAAACTTGACCTTTGTTTTCCCAGTGCCCCGATTCTGCGTGCAAGCAGGACCTCCTAGCCTACCTGCAGCGCATCGCGCTCTATTGCCATCAGCTGAATATCTGTAGCAAGGTGAAGGCTGAAGTTCAAAACCTCGGCGGGGAGCTGGTTGTGTCTGGGGTATGTATGAGCTATGACGTGTCCGGTTCATGCGGTTTTTCTTCCAGGGGTAACAATTATTCCAAGCTAAGCTTTTATGCTGAACAATACAGAATGTAGACAAGAGATTTTGGAATGTTCAAAGTTTTAATGTATGCAAAGTTTATAATGATGCCTGCAATGCCTCGTTGTTCTTGGAGGAAACATGGACTGTTTGAAAGGGGGGAAAATGCAAATACAGACTTCACTTTTCCTTACTCAGCTGTGTTTGTAGGCAGATTCACTTTACCTTTGTGTAATTTACTGTTTTTCCAGACTGTTCTTCACTCTTAGTGAGGTTAAATCACTTTAGTCGGCATAGCTAAACCTACCCCATGTCCCTCCACAGCCTTGGAACGTGCTGGGGTCCTGCAGTGCTCCAGGGATGTTAATATTTCAGAATAGCTGTGCCCTGAAGAGTGCAGGGATTTTTAGTGGCTGCTCTGCTTTATGACAGCTGAAAGCTGCCGTAGGCCAGCCTGCTTCCTTTCTCTGGCCATTACTTGGCAAATAATTTTTTCAGTGTAGTTCATGAAATGCTCCCTTCTAAGAGGAATTTATAGGACAGAGATTGGGTGGGAGGGAAGTAGCGCTAAATTCTTAATTTCTTCTGGCATATTCTTCCTTGCCCTAGACAGGTACGTTTGATCACTGGTGCTTTTGCCCAGCCATGTCACAACTGAGGGAGGAGGTTTGAAGAAGGGACAGAAATGGCTAATAGTCCAGTATTGCTACCTGGATCGTTAAAAACAAATGGGGAAAAAAAACCTTACCCCCTTCTGCCATTTAGAGATTTCAAATACTTAAAACTTATTAGCACATCTTTTTTTCTCGCAAACAAGCTGGAATTGTAGGACGAGTGCTTCAAGGCAGTGGGCACTGAGGGAGGTCTGCAGCAACCTGCTGCAGAAGCAGTGGTGGAGATGGACCACGCTTGCATGAGCTTAGCGCCTTCACAGGGGAGCTGGGCTTCTCTGCCGCACCTCCTACTGCTGCCAGTCCCGTGTGCTCGGATTCCAGCACAGCGGAGCCGAGTGACGAGATGTAATGAAACATGTGCTGCTGCGCGTCTCCGCTGCGTGCCTGATGTCCTATTAGCTGGGAGGCTGAAGGCACCGCGCTGTCAAAGAAGGAGACGTGTCATTATGCAGTAATACGTACTCCAGGGTTACTTGGCGTCTTCAGAATTTACATACCTTTCTGCCGTAAATTAGTTACAGGAACAGGCTGGCATCTGGGGTCCGATCTCCTGGTTTTACCTGTTCTCTGCGAGTCTCGTCCACTGGGGCTGAACGTGGCCGTAGTAGTGTTAAACTTCCATCAGATTATCAGGTGAAGACCTCTGCCAGTCCAGGCGCTTCACCTGTCTAAAAGTAAAATTCCCTTCAATCCTACTGCTGCCAGTCCCGCGTGCTCGCATTTCCAGCACAGCGGAGCCGAGTGACGAGATGTAATGAAACATGTGCTGCTGCGCGTCTCCGCTGCGTGCCTGATGTCCTATTAGCTGGGAGGCTGAAGGCACCGCGCTGTCAAAGAAGGAGACGTGTCATTATGCAGTAATACGTACTCCAGGGTTACTTGGCGTCTTCAGAATTTACATACCTTTCTGCCGTAAATTAGTTACAGGAACAGGCTGGCATCTGGGGTCCGATCTCCTGGTTTTACCTGTTCTCTGCGAGTCTCGTCCACTGGGGCTGAACGTGGCCGTAGTAGTGTTAAACTTCCATCAGATTATCAGGTGAAGACCTCTGCCAGTCCAGGCGCTTCACCTGTCTAAAAGTAAAATTCCCTTCAACGTTAACATCCCCCCACCTATATGCCACGGAAGTTTGGTGAAAGCAGAGCTACAACCAAGGCAGTAAGAGCTCGCACCCTAAGCAATCTGACAGTTCATTTAGAAAAGTACCTCCTTGCTTTCCTTGCATTTAATGTGATTCTTCCTGCTGCGAAGAGTCATGGAAATAGTCAAATGCAATGAAAGTGTTTTCCAGCGCGATGACTAGAGGCGAGGAAAGCGGACGACACTGGAGGGCGCAGATCAGATCTGCTGTTGTGGTACTGAACGCAGCGTGGTGGAAAGGAAGGTACCAGCACCGCAGGAAAAGCAACCAACCTCCTGCTCAATTTATTTTGCTGCTAGATAAGCAATGGCTTCAAGGTTTTTCCCCAAGCCTGCCTTAGATCTAGTCTACAACGCCAGAATTTAAGTGCGTAGAGGCAGCTGAGCTCCCGCGTAAGCTTAGCGGAGCTGCAGAAATCCTGCCCAGGCCGTTTGGCATTCACAGGCCTCAGGTCCTGCCCAGAGCTGGGCACCGGCGCCCGCAGAAGTGGGGTCCCAGCTGGGGTCACCTCCGTGGTCCTCCCCTCTCTCTTCCACCCTGCCCCCTTTCTGGCTCTTCATCTCTGCCATGTGCTAAAGCTTCAGCAAATGCTTTTTTGTTTTGGTTTTTCCTCATTTTAATGCTCTTGTAAATCAGAAACCACCTGGGAAAGGGCTCCAGGCCTGGCTGAAGATGCAGTTGCGTTCCTTCCTTTCCAATACAACTCAATATTCTAGGGTGATTTAAATATTTATTATCAGTGATTAAGATATTACTACAGCTTTACTAATTCCATTAGGGAATGAGCTGCTGCTTAGTCACAAAAGCAAACAGCAGCATTCGCATCTTCTCGATTGCCGTTAATATGGAAAAGGCCCTGATTGTGGGCAAACATTGCGCTTTCTTTTTTCTGGTGGCACAAGTCAGGTTTTTACCCCTTGGTGTCCAAACGAAAATACCACCTTGAATTTGGAACTTCAGATTTCAGAAGAAAACTCAGAAAAATCCATTTTCGAGTGCTTTTACGCGCCAGGACTATCACGTTTTCTGGAATACCGTATTGGCGGGAGTTTCACGGCGTGTAACGCTTGTGTGTTACCCTTCGGCAGGTGGACAGTGCCATGTCTCTCATCCAAGCAGCCAAGAACCTGATGAACGCTGTGGTGCAAACCGTGAAGGCTTCTTACGTGGCATCCACCAAGTACCAGAAGTCCCAGGGCATGGCTTCGCTCAATCTTCCCGCTGTCTCTTGGAAGATGAAGGCTCCGGAGAAGAAACCCCTGGTCAAGAGGGAGAAACAAGATGAAACCCAAACTAAAATCAAGAGAGCGTCCCAGAAGAAACACGTTAACCCGGTGCAGGCCCTCAGTGAGTTCAAGGCCATGGAGAGTATTTAAAGAGAGGTCTCGGTCTTGGTTATTTTTTTTTCTCTAGCCCACTACTGCTACTTCCAGAACTCTACTTTTAATATTCTAAGGATTTTTCAAAAGTTTACTATTCCTCAAAATGTATTTACTTAATATAATTTTGATAACTTTGTTTAGATTACGTGGGGAAATGCTCAAATTTATAAGTCCTATCAGTATAGCTTCAGCCTGCGGAAGAGTGTTCATTTAGATTGCTTTTAGATTTCAGGGGTGTATTTCTAGAGGAAAATTATTTTGTATAATCTCGCTTTAAATAAAATATTCTATAACCAAAGAGGGTTTTACAGCAACACTAATGGTTAACACTAACAGTTGAATCATGCTACGCGGAGACTGCAGTTTTTCATGGTGATTGAGAGGGGGAAATTGCAATCTTTTCACTCTGAAAAAAATTAATTAAAGTATTGTGTGTATTAGTGTATTCCCGCTGTCGGGGTGGCAAGGGAGCGAGCTTTGTACGCTCAAAGGAGCGTGACAATGCCAGCAGGCGCTAGCTGCGCTGCCGCAACAGCCTGACCACAACTGGAAAACATCTGGAAAAGCTACAGAGCCTCGCCCGGGCTGGGTCCCGCACAGCGGGGGGGGCGTTTTTGGAGACGCGCTCGGTGGTTTCGCCACGCCGCTCGCCCTGGGCCGCCCGAGAGCTGTTTGCCAGGCCGGTGGCTCCCACCCTGCCTGGCGTACGGGGCACCCGCCCGTGCCTCCGCGGGCCTTTTCGGAGGGGGTTTCACACGCCTCTCGCCTGGGGGAGCACCCAGAGCAAACCCCGTGGGACACACGATCAGGGAGGCGGCTGATTACTTCTGTAAGACACCGGCCGGGAATTTTAATGCCTGGTTACAAATTACTCATGTATTTTGCTGCGGGACACTAATAAAGTTGCTTTTACCAGCCGGCGTATTGTGGTGCTGTGAATGGAGCGGGCTCCCAGCCCGCCCCTGCTCCCCCTCCCCGCCATTCAGATGCAAATCGGCTTTGTACTCATTTCTCATAATTGCTCTGCATCCCGCCTGGGGCTTCCAAAGGCACCCAGCAAATAATGTTTGCTCAGGCTGCAATTTAGACTGTACATTATTTGTGATAACTATAGCTACAAGGTATAATTTCGCCGTCGTATTTAAATTTTATGAATTTCAGCGTGTTTTACACTTACCAATAAAGCCCAGCGTTGGAGCAGCAGCGCCTGCGCGGGTCAAAGTCGCGCCCGCTGTTTCTGTAAAGCGCCCATTAAGCAGGAAAGCAGCCTGGGCTGGTCGTTAATGTTTTAAACTGCATCTCCATTTCAGAGCGATCCTTGGCAGCGTTCGGTTATAATTCTATTTATCTTGATCAGGTTATAATTTACTGTAGCGAGGTTACTGCTGCCGCGTTACCAAAATGCTGATCAGAATTAAGCTAAATAGTTCTTGGGATATTTTTGCCAAATTCATTCTGTTTTCAAGCAGCTGGATTATATATTGGTTTTCATACGCCTTAACGTCTAAATGGGCGGCTGCTGGGAGGGTAAGCGAAGGTGCTCGTTCCGCTGACGCTTAAGAGTTAATGAAATAGATAAGCTGTAGATAGGGTTGTCTTATATATAATTATTAATTGCTTTTTTACATGTTTTTTTCTTCTCCTGGTCTTAATGTAATCGTCTTAAAGGCTGCATTCCCTGGGCCAGTCTGGGGCTCTCTCCAAAATACACACATTAACACCCCCCCCAGTGCAATCGATTAATGAGCTTTTAAAGAACAGCCCACGTATAAGATGTACAGATACATTTATAGGTATTGAGATTTCCAATACAGGTTGTTTTATTTCATGCTATGCAATCCACCTGATGACAGCTGGTTTGAAAGCCCAGCTGGGAAGCCGGGGGCCTCCTCGCCTGGAGCGGCCCCG